TAGCCAAAATGTCCATCCCTTTGGTAGGCAGTTGAAATTTGCCGAAACCTTGAGTAAAATAAGTTTTCTTCTCCTCAGAATACAATCTCCTTTGTACCAAACACAACACTTCCTGCAGACAAAATACAATACATTTAAACAATAATATATAGGAAATGATTCCTTATCCCAGACAAATGTTGAAATCAGTAACATTAAAGAAAGTTGAAGGCTGCATTCAGAAAAATATCAAGTTGAAAGAAACTATTTGGATCGTAATATCACATGTTGACGCCAATGCATCACAGCATGGTTATTATAATCTGTGTACTCTGAATAACAGATTTGAGAAAAAATATGTTAAAACTGAGTTTAGGAGCCTCATACATGGCTTAGTACAGTACGTCTGGTTATTGATGAATGTGAAAAGACTACACAACTGAAAGAGACTCTGAAGATTTATGATTCATCTACTTTGAGTAGGTGTTCGAAAAAAAAAAAAAAGATATTTTGTCAGAAGCACCATCTGGATTATCAGAAGTCTGTCAGGAACATATTGTCTTCACTTTGAGTTGAAACATTGATGGTTACACATCATCACTGACATCAGAGGATGCTGTGAGCTGAATTTAGTGGAAACAAAACTGTCATTCATCTTTAAAACATCAAACAAATCCTTTAAGTAATCTTAACCCTGTGGTAGACTTAATGTACGAAAGGCTCATCTCACAGAAACATGACAGATTCTCTCGATTGTCTTAATTGTTTTTCTCGCTCTTCTCAGCTGCACTTCATGCTTGCTCTCACTGAAACACTAAAGGTTATTTTCAACCTCCTCTGAGGTATCGACTGCCCCAGTGTCAAACTGTTTCCACTTCGCGGTACCGATACTCAAGTCCAGCCAGTCTGATCAAATACTGAGTTTCCACTTTAATTCAGTTTTCACTTGAAAGCCCAGGGTTTAGGGGACAAATGATTCACTGTACGGCTGGATCGTGTGTCATCTACCATCTAAAACAAATCCTCAGCACCTCGTACATGAGGTATATATTATACGATTCTAAAAATCTTTTATTTGACCTAAATAAATTGGATTCTCTTTATCATGAAGCAAATGTACAGGCAGTAAAACCGAATGGGTTTTTGAAATGCCGGACTACTTTTGATGTTTTGATCATTCTGTCTTTTTGATCAGACTGTGAGACATTTTTATATTTGTCCTCTAGCTCGCCCTAAATAGAACCGTTTAACTGCAGGGTGCCTTTAAAAGAAGCCAAATTATATTAAAAAGCCATACAATTAACTTATGACTGCAGGCAACACAATTGAATCTTACCAAAAACAAACCAGCTGCAGTGTGTTGATGTTAGAATGGCACATGCATACCGTTTGGTCTGTGTGACAAAACCAAAATATCTTTAGGCCTAGCATCTCGGCTAAGATGACCTTGAGAACAAATAAATGACCAATTAAAAAAAAAAAACTCCTTCAAGTATATCGCTTTAAATATCTAAAGATTCATACATGCACACAAACAAACATGCATACACAAATGAAAACACAAGATGCTATAAATTGGTTAAGAAAAGCAAAACATACAAAACAAAACTTATACCAGAAAGCAGTAAAAACTAGTCATGACTTAAATGAGTAAGACTTCTTGTGCAAGGAAATATAAACATAAATAATATTGAAGTTACTTTTCATTCTTTATCTATTTAAGGAGCATTACATTAGTCATGGAACAAATGCTGTTTTCCCTTTCCGTCTGTTTCAAAAATGTTAATAATCATTGTCACACTTTATTTTTACAAACAGCATAAATTGAACAAACATACATAAATAATAATTTGGTTTGACAAAGCCTAAACAATCTACTTATTCTGCTTCAACAAACCCAAATCTGCTGTTCAAAGCTAAAACCATTTTCCATATACAGTATAAGGCGGCACATTGAATCAGCCTCTGTGACATTATGTGGGCGAGACTGATGCTCAGTATACGGCCTATAGCTGCTTAATGAGATAGAACATTTGGCCAGTTCTGATCTGGCTGTTTCATTATGTGAGCAGAATGCTGCAGAAGCCATTTAGCAGCCAGAATACCTGTGGCTTTGGTTTTGACAGAGCTGCCTGCCTGTCATATAATCAATCACAGCCCGAATTGGGAAAAAAAGCTCAGGGGAATCAAACAATGGCTCCACACGTACCGTAGCAAACAGACGTGTGTAAATGTTTAGCAACCATCACTCTAGTCATCAGATGTAAAGGAACTGAAGGGAGGAAGTGTTGACAGATTTTTGTCTACATTTTTGTTTACAAGCAGGCAGTGAAGAGAGTGCAGTCTGAACACTGATTTGACTGTGTGTTGTGTTGACAGTTTTTTTGCATGACATGTTGTCTCCAGCAGTGTGGTGTTTCAGTCAAGTGGCAGAGAAATTTGAGAAAGTGTTCATCAAATGTAAAAAGTCTTTCCTCTGTTCCACCCTGTGTGCGAACTTGTTCCAAACTTGAAGCCTTATCTTGACACTGCTTTAATCTTTGTGACATTTCTGTCATCAAACCAGGCAGAGATGAGACTGGTGTAATTTACATACTCAGGCTGAGGCTTCAGTCAAACATGCCCGAGAGCCATACTAATGTATTTCAACACGAGGCTATAATGAGATTACAGACCTTCACCATCATTTAATTATTATTTCTTTGGTCGTCAGAATCTGCAGGAAACTGATTGATTTTGCATTTAAAGGGGCCCTATTTAAAGGGGCTTTTTCGGGTTTTCCATTTCCTCAAGTGTGTAATGTTTGTGTGCATGTAAATGGTAATAATAAGCTTAGGCTCAAATCGCACTCACACTCCTTAGTTTACTTCCGTAACATAGTAAAATCACTATTTAACAATCACGCTTCTATTGGTTAGCGCTCCAACACATTGTGCATTATAGGATAAGGGGCGGGACATCTCTAAGCGGTTGACCAATCAAAACGGAGCCAGTCAGCTACCAATCAGAGCAGACTGAGCTCTGGTTTCAGACAGAGGGTGTCAAGAGGTGCTGCAGCACAGGCAGTATGAGAAAAATAAAGACCTTTTTGAACATTTAAGCATGGAGACATGTAACAGTAGAGGCACAAAATACAAATATGAACCTGAACATAAGCATAAGAAGGCCCCTTTAAATAAAGAGAGTATATACATGAGGATGTTTACCTTTCGGAGACATTTTTGGTATCATTAGGACCCTTTATGCATTATATCATATTATAATGCCCTACTACTACAGTTAGTTTTAAGTAGAGATACAGCAATCTGACTTTTTAAGTTATGATGGAAAAACATGCGAATTATAAAGAACTGATTTACCAAAATACTTAAATATATGCGCAAGAGTAGGCCTTAATCAGCATTTGTCTCAGTATCTTTAGATGTGGACAAACAATTATGTTTTAGTTTAAAAAGACAGAGAGAGAAAGCTCTGTTGCGTTGGGTTTTGAGTCCTTTTTACATGGGTAGGCAAATGGGCAGCTGTCCCGGGCAGACTGGAGGTCTCTCTGCAGGAGGAATCTGCTGCTGGTGCTTCTCCAGGATGACTGATGATGGGCAGCAGCTTAGAGCTGGCAGAGAGAAAGGGACGCAGTGGCACAGAGAGTACTGGGCATGTCGGTAGTTATTACGTTCTTCTTCAGAAAGGGTCAGAGGTCAGACTGAGCGTATTCCAGCAGCTCCCTGCACCAAAACCTCTATATTCCCAACACTGTACAATTATCTTTGTGTTGCTACTGGCTTTTCAATAATTGACAATCAAATTAAATAAGCATTATGTCTGCTGTCTGCACTTGTGTGTGTCAGATGTAAATCTTCACTGGAGTCAAGATTTGGGAGTGCAAAGTCAGATTGCATATAATTTACACCACAGCATAAATCATGGCCAAAGGTCTCTGTTTTATAAGACATACAGTTGCAGTAAACTTGTCTTCACATTGTGTAACAGTGAAGCAAATACAAATTATTATTAAAGTTGTGTTTGCTCCGAAAGAGCTGGTGTGAAATGTCATCACAAGCTGATTTTATAGTGCAAGAGAAACTAAATTAAGACTAGCCTTTGCTTCACAGGGCTAATTAGCTTTTATTACAACAGAAGTGTTATATGTGCTAGCATTGGATAAAAACAATAACTTAATACTAAAAATGTCTTCTTTTTTTTTTATCCTCAGTGTCGTAGTCTCAAAAAGGTAAAAACAGATAAGGAAGTTTGACATTGGTCAACAGGGTACAATTCAAACTCGACCAATGTTTGTCCTTCAAAAGTGAAGCTTATTGGTGATTCAAGTCCCACATGTTAGACTGTGCAAGTTAGCATGTACAAGTTATCATTTTATCTATACCTTGATTGACTGGATAGTTTCTATTATGTGTTGCAGCTAATATGATTCCTAAGACCTCACTAAAACAAAGGTTAACTACTTAAGCTGTTTCTTCATATTGAGTTAATTCACAAAGAATGGATTTGTTAGCCTCTAATGTCTAAGTACCATGATTTACCCATCACTTACGCAACCTATGCCTCCTCTACAGGTATGATTCAAATAAGACATTATGTTTATGATATTAGAGTTTGAACTTGTTCATCAGGGGAGGTGAAATGTGTCTTTTCTGCTTCTGATTGCATTTATCCGTGTGGCAAAGTATACGTTTCGTCTTTGCACTAAGAGCACAGCCGGCCGAACAATGAGACTGAGAGCTGAAGTGCTGACCAAGGTTTTCTTCTTGTGTTTCCTTGGCAGCACAGTTAGGGTTGCTTTTAACGTTTGTGGATACTTTAAGAATTACACAGCTTATTTTTGTCCTATTTGTGCAGGTTTAGCAGCTATGCAATGTTTCAGTGTTTTCGCCTATACATTTCTTGTTCTATCACCAGAACACTCTCATTGGTTCTCAAAATGAGATTCACATCGCTATAACTATCATCACAATATTCTGAACAAACTCTAGGATTCTTGTAGGTAGGTTTGAAGAAAGACTCACCATCCTCCCGAGACTTTTGGATAAAAGCGTCCACTCCACTTTCTCCATAGTTTCCCTCGGAGGCCACAGTGGAGACGTAGTTCCAGCGCATGGCTTTGACGATGTCCACCATGGCCTGGGCCTGGTACGTGTCCGGGGGCACCACCCGGGAGAAGAAGTCGTAGCGGGTGTTGTCACTTAGCTCTGGAGCTGTGGAGGCGTAGCTCACCTGAGGGATCTGCAGGAGAAGAAGGTGATGTGGTTACACACTTGGAATTAAAAATAAACGTTGTGTTAATGTTTGCATGTTCAGAAGGATAGTACCTTGCTGTTTCATGTACATAAAATGATGATAATATAACACATACATGTAACATCTGCTGAAATCTGAACTGCTCCATGGTTGTTAATTAGCCTGGATGGTTAGCACATTGTTGCTTTAAATAGTCCTGATGATCACAGGCTGAGCAGCAGCTGAAGTATACTTTCCACACCAGTCAGGCAACACTAATCTGCTCAGGATTTCACACTTGTTTCAAACATAATGTGAGAGGTATTTGTTGTTGAAAACATAAAAGCTGATGATCTGCCTCCGGAGCTGCAATAATACCCTGGGTTCTTGTCAGAAATCACAAAGATGTTATTGTTTAATAGGAAAGTCTAGAAACCATAAATATCAAATAACCTTAGTGTGTACTTTGAATAAAAAGGGAAACCAAAAAGGTCAAATGTTGCAGAATAGGTTGAAAATAATAGAAGTTAAGCTTATTGAACCTGCCTTCAGTTCAATAAATACGTTTCTTTACTCGCTGTTATTAAATGATAAATAAATAAGATTCATAAGTACAGTCCATTTATCAAAGGTTTTACCATTCTTAGTTTTACAATAAAAGTATTTTAGGAGCTGCCTCCAGCAAGAGCTTCTAGTTCGTATGTAATCTCAATTTTTGCTTTCTCAAGATAATTGATTTATAGATTTTAAAGCTTGTAAGATGTTCTTATGGCTTCTGTGCTGCTCAGTTTGGAATTTGACAGAGCAGATTTTATACGTGTTTCATAGTTAAACTTCAAATACAGACACACTTGTTATTTTTTTGTCCTGATTCTCCAGGGTTGATGAATTCAGGCCGTAGACGTGGAAGTCAGAGTCGCGGCTGCTTTAAACCAGAATAGAGTTTGACGGAGTATGAGTCAGGGGGAGAACATCTTGTAATGTGCGTGACCCAGCACAGTATTAGAGTGGAATACTTGTCCTGAAGCCACTTCTGCTTTGTAGGACTTATTAAACCAAGAAATCATGTATCTTTTTTACAATAGAGGACAAAAAAGAAAGAAAAAGAACATAATGTTGGCAAAAGAAAATGTAGCTTGGGAGTATTCCTTTGTTTTTGGAATCATGGGAACCTTTCCAAAGATGTACCGATCCAACTCTTATTATGCTATCAAAGATAAATATGGAGGCCAGGGTGGTTGACTTTGCCCGTTCATTTCATGACTCACACTTAAATGAAATGGTGCCCATCCTTTTCAAATACTGTTTGTCATGGCAGCTCAGCGGTGCTCTGGGAATTTGGGAAAATGTTGTCACCTTTGAGCATCCCTGCTGAGATGGAGGGATGTGAGGACAGATAGATAAGCTTACTATGGGACTGAAAAACAGTTAAAAAACCTACAGAATGAATTTGTTACAGATAAGAATATGTATCCCCTTGATGCTGCTGCTTTTTTGTATATCTTAATTAAAAGATAAACCCTTTATGTGTTTGAGGAAAAAAGCTATCATACATCCAACAATGCTACATAAATGTTAACCACAGTCTTCCTTTAATAATAATAATAATAATACATGGGACTTTCTATAGCGGGACAGGAGGTTGGCAGTGGCAGAGCGAGTGGGAGCGTGTCTGTGGAGGAGGTCAGTCAGGTAGGATGGGGCCAGGTTATGGAGGGCTTTGTATGTCATCAGAAATATCTTGTACTGAATTCTCTGGGGGATGGGGAGCCAGTGGAGCTTGATGAGGACGGGTGTAATGTGTTCACGGATTCGGGTGTGGGTGAGTAGACGGGCGGCGGAGTTCTGGATATATTGAAGTTTGTTGAGGATTTTTGCAGGTGAACCATATACTCTAAAAACAAATGCCTTGGCTCAATAAAGAAAATCAACGCAACAGTTTGCATCAATGTTTATTGAGTTAAGACAACTTCTAATGAAATTGTCTTAAAGCAACAAAGTTATTTGAGTTAGGGGAGAAGGCTTTTCCTCTACAATCAGAGGTGTTTTTAATTACCACTTACTTAATAATTGGTAGCATAAACACAACTTTTGAAGTTGATTACTCAAAAGATTAAGTTGTTCCGACTAGTTTTACCGTATGACTTAAAAGGAATTTGAAGTTGTATGTACTTAATTACCCTCATTCGGGATACAAGTTTTTAAGTTGATTACTCCAAAAATTAAGTTGTTCCAACTTGTTTTACCGTATGATTTAAAAGGAATTTTAAGTTGTATGTACTAAGTTACCATCATTGTGAACACACGCTTTTAAGTTGACAACCATTTATAAATTAAGTTGCTCCAAATATATTTTATTCAATAGTTTTTTTTCTTAGCTTTTTCATGTTTTTGCCTTTAAAGAAAGAAATTAATTGATTCCACAACAAAAATATTAGGCAACTAACTTATAATTTTTGAACTGCAGTTGTTTATTTCAACACATGATGTTTCAATCAGGAGAGAATTCATTTTGAGTTGGACATTTATTGACACATGCCATATGATAAGGTGCATGAACACCTGAAATCACAGCTGACTGCAGGAGAGAGGAGAACCATTTTATAGTTTGGCTGCAGCACGTTGATTGGCTGCTGGAGAATGAGGTGAAATGTAATAGGTTAAAGAGAACGCCTGTGATGAGCTGATTATATGCAGCTGCGGAGTGAATGTATATAAACACCCAGTCTTCCTGAAAGAACTTGCGCTGAGCTTCATTTAAATCTTGAAAAAAAAGATAAATAACACAAATTTAAATTGCTCCACAAATAATAAATAAACACATTAGCCATATTACCATGGGAAATAGGAACACAGCAAATAAATGCTGCCATCACATCGAAGTTAGAGGCCTTTACATATTTAAAACCAGTGCCAAATATGTAAAATCTGTAAGGTTTTTGTAAAACTACAGTAACAAACTCTCAATGGCCACCAATCTGCAGATCACATACATCAATTTTACAAAAGATGTAACAAAGATGTTTACTCTGCAGACAGTCATTATTTCAAACAGTATGAACACATTTAACGCAGAATGCTTGCTCATTCATTTGTTTCCCTCGACCACGATGGTTGCCATCGTATGGTCAGATCCTGGGGTGGACCGGTCACTGATGAAGGCGATATTCATGTCCTTTTGAAGCACATTGAATAATAGCTTAGCGCATAAGAGATAATGAATTAGGTAACTGCATACTTTTTAAACTGTCACTCTTAGCGAATTCAGAGCCATTATTACCAGCTGCTAAAAGCAAC